CTACCAGGGCTCCCATGTCATCTCCACAGTCACCCTGAAATAGTGGCCATTTCTCCCATGAGGGTCTCCAATGGGACTGGCAGCAATGACGGTTTATCAGACATCTTCCTTGGAATTTTGGAGAGCAGGAAATGAGGAAAAGGGCTGACCCTTTTTTTGTTTTTTTTAATATCAGATGTCCCCAAATCATTTGACATCTGATTTTTTTCTAAGAAGGAGATGTTTGAAAGAGGCAAAGTTCACACTGTGAGAATCATAAATTCCAATGGATGGAGTCATTGCCTTGTCTTTGGTTGGAATCTGATGGAATACTGTAGTTTTCCATTTCAATGTCCAGTGTGAGCCAATAGGAGATTTATATGGGAGATTCCCTGTGGAAGAAAGGCTGGTCTCTGGGTACCCCGAATGGGCTTGTCCTTCTAGACGGAAAGCTATTTGTATATGGGAAACTGTTGCCAAAGTTATGAGATAAAAGCAGGATTGAGACAGGCAGGTTGATGGTCCCAGTAACTGTGTTCACTCATGTCACTGCCACAAGGTCAACTGTGGGCACAAGAGGAGCAGAGAGTTATTATATGAAATAATATATATATATAATATACATGTGAATTATTAATAAGAAAGCAGCCCCCATAACGGGAAATATAACTGTATTGGAAGGACAGTCATTTTTTAAGATATTTAAACAAATCAGTGTAGAAGAGTGGTTTAAAGTCAGATAATACAAGTCAGGGTTGGAAACAGTCATTTCAATAAGATTTTGGATTTTTTTTTAAATTAATATTTTAAGCTAATTTCTTTTTTTATAAGTAAGTCCTTAAGCTTTACCTGAGAAACTAGAAAGGCATTTTTCACAGGGATCTGGCCCATGAGGCTGAGCGCAGTGTCTGTTCCGGGTTTAACATGTTGTAAGTTTGGTCATGGTAAAGCCAATAGGTATGTGTAGGAGTGGATCCACGTGGTGCCTGAGCCATGTATAATGGGGGGGGTGTCTTTAAGAGAAAGCAGTTTGCAAAGAACAAGGTCTTGGAAGGGCCATGCAAATGAGGGGCCCTGAGGCGTAAGCTTCATTGTTGTTGTTAGTTGCCATTGAGTTGGCTCCAACTCCTGGCGACCTCACGTACAACAGAGCAAAACGTTGCCCAGTCCATCTTCCTGCTCACTGGTATGCATGAGTCTGTTGTTGCAGCCACCTTGTATCTTGAGTGCCTTCCAACCTAGGGGGCTCATCTTCCAGTGCTTTATCAAACAGTGTTCTATTGTGATCCATAGAGTTTTCACTGGCTAATTTTTGGAGCTAGATCACCAGACCTTTCTTCCTAGTCTGTCTTAGTCTGGAAGCTCCGCTGAAACCTGTCCACCATGGATGACCCTGCTGGTATTTGGCATCGCTTCCTGCAGCATAGAACACGCAAGCCACCACAGTATGACAGACTGACAGAGGGGTGGTGGAAACTTCATGAGCTTCATAGTAAATCCACCTCTAGGTACATGTTATCTTTGTTTTAAATCAGCAGTGTGATTTCTGTAGCTTCACGCCTCTGAACGCACATCAAACTCCACATCTACCCAGTGTACATGAGCACTCTGGGAAAGAAGTGACCAGGCAAGAGAAAGAGGGGAGTTGGTGGAGTGAGAGCAAAGGCTGGGATGGTCAAGAGAGGAAGGGAGAGAGAGAGAAAGTGGGGGGCAGAGCCCGCCTCCTTCCCTCATGGCTGGTACCACATGACCTGGAAAAGCCCTTCCAGCTCTTTCACCAGCTGCTGTCCAGTTGATCCCGACCCATGACAACCCAGTGTGTGTCAGAGTGCCTCATAGGGTTTTCAGTGGCTGATTTTTCAGAACTAGATTGCCAGGCCTTTCTTCCAAGGAGCCTCTGGGTAGACTCGAACCTCAGTTAGCAGCTGATTGTGTTAACTGTTTGCATCACCCAGAGGCTCCTTCCAGCCATAGCATTGGATTTTTCTATGAGTCTGTGAGAGCCGGTGGGAGGTACTTGGGCTGATCCCTAAAATACAATTTGCCAATTAGCTTTCAGTAAAAAGGCTTTCTTCAGGTGAACGGAGACAAGCAAATCTCATTTGCCATTTCCTCCTTCGTTGAAGCTGGGGTGTTGTGTGGACAGAAGGGATCTGAATAGTGGGGGCTCTAGAAAGGAAGGTTGAAACCCACAGTCAGTCACCCAGAATCCTGACAGAAAGGGAGAAAAATGTGGACCAGAACTCAAATTCTTAAAAAGTTCAGACTTACTGGCCCGGTTGAGACTAGAGGACTCCCCGAGACTATCGCCCTGAGATAATCTGTAAACCTTGAACCGAAACTATTCCCTGATGTCACCCTTTAGCTAAATAACAAACTGGCTCATAAAAGAAACAATATCACCTGTGAGTACTGTGCTCCTTTAAAAAAAATCATCTATATGAGACCAAACGGTCAACAGTTACTCTAAAGAAAAGAGAGAGGGTAAGGGGGCAGGGAAACTAGACTACTGGAAACAGAGCAACCAGAAAGGAAATAATGAGAATGTTGACACATTGTGAATAATGTAACCAATGTCAGAACAGTCTGTGCAGAATTTGTTAAATGAGAACCTAATTTGCTGGGTAAACTTCCACCAAAAACACTCTAAAATATTATTTAAAGAAAAAAAGCCAAACTTTGATGAAGGGAAAGATATAATACATAATATAGGGGAAGTCAGCACAACTTGACCGAGGCAAAGGAAGACACTTAGAGGAACACAAAAAAGAAAAAAAAAAAAGAGGCAAACACAGTAAATACATAGCATATACAATCCTGCAACAGTAAAAAGAAATAATAACTTACAAGCAGATATATAGGCAGATAGTATGCTGAATAGGAGAAGGAGGGCATGTAGATTAGGCTGTGGATATCTTTACATACATATTTGTATATGTAGCATATATATTCATATATATAATAGAGCAGAAAGGGGGCACAGTCATAGAGGCTTCCTAGACACATCCAAACTCCTTGAGGGACCAAGTTACTGAGGCTGAGGGCTGGGGACTATGGTCTCAGGGGATATCTAGGTCAATTGGCATAGCATAGTTCATAAAAAAATGTTCCTGGTGAGTAGCATCTGGGGTCTTAAAAGCTTGTGAGTAGTAGCCTTCTAGAATACATTTATTGGTCCCATCCCATTTGGAGCAAAGGAGAATGAAAAAAACCAAAGACACAAGGAAAATAATAGTCCAGAGGACTGATGGACCACATGAGCCACAGCCTCCACCAGCCTGAGCCCAGAAGAACTAGATGGTGCCCAGCTACCACCACCGCCACTCTGACAGGGATCACAATAGAGGGTCCCAGACAGAGTGGGAGAAAAATGGAGAATAAAATTCAAATTCACAAAAAAGACCAGATTTACTGGTGTGACAGAAACTGAAGGAACCCCAGAGACTATGGCCCCCAGACACCCTTCTAACTCGGAACTGAAGCCACCGTTGAAGCTCACCTTTCAGCCAAAGATTAGACAGGCCTGTAAAACAATAACACGCTTGAGGAACGTGCTTCTTAGATCCATCAAGTATACGAGACCGAATGGACAACACCTGCTCAAAAGCAAAGATTGAGAAGGCAGGAAGGGACAGGGAGACTGGACAAATGGACATGCGGAACCCCGGGTAGAAAGGGGGAGAGTGCTGACACATTGCAGGAATTGTGACCAATGTCACGAAACAATTTGTGTATAAATTTTTGAATGAGAAATTAATTTGCGCTGTAAACGTTTACCTAAAACCCAATTTAAAGAAAAAAAAAAAAACTGCCAATCTCCCGGGAAAGGCAGCTGAGTGGAGGGCTGGTCTGTGAACCAGCATCCCAGCTGAGTGGAGGCTCCAGGTCGACAGGTCTCCCCAGCTGTTCTGAAACTTGCCCACAGCTCAAGGAAGGGTTTGCAGAGCTGTAAGAGATCCATGCTTCGTGGTCTAGAAATGAGGTTTCTTTGCCACATGAGTAAAATGAAACAAAAGACACAAGTTGTAATATGATTTAAGAACATTTAGAAGGAAAGGAAGTATCTTCTAAAATGTCGGCTTTCCCTTCCATAGTTAAAAAGCAAACCATGGGAACTCAATCGGTATTGAGTTAAAAAGCTTTGATGGTTATTGAAGCTGATGAAAAATTAGCACTACGCCGTTGGTTCTAGGGCTTCTAGACTAACGGTCTGACCAGACCCTTGGGGCTTTTGTTGCTCTTGTATTTTTTTTTAAAACAATGTGTTACAAATGGTTTTCAGCAACAAGCAACAGCCACCTCAGACATCATGATGTAGGTGGTACAAGCGTCTCTCTCTGTCCACACAATTGTTTTTAAATCACATCCTCTCTGCAAACAAGGGCCAGGAGCATTCTATCCTGTGGTAGCGTGTTGCTCCCTGGATGTGGACAGATACTTGTGGGTGACATATTAGTCTTGGGCAGGTTATGTAAGTGCTGCTTAGTTGCCATCAAGTCGATTCTGACTCATGGCGACCCCGTATGTGCAGAGTAGAACTGCTCTGTAAGGTTTTCAAGGCTGTGACCTTTAGGAAGCAGATCGCCAGGCCTGTCTTCTGAGGTGCCTTTGGGTGGGTTTGAACTACCAACTTTTTGACTAGTTTATAGAGCCTTGGTGGCGCAATGGTTAAGAGTTACGGTTGTTAACCAAAAGGCTGGCAGTTCGAATCCACCAGCCTTTCCTTGGAAACCCTCTGGGGCAGCTCTTCTCTGTCCCGTAGGGTCACTATGAGTAGGTATTGGGCTTTTTTTTTTTTTAGTTGAGCACTTAACTGTTTGCGACAGCCAGGGACTCTGTGTAAGTGCAGGGTGCCGCTACTTACTGGGTGCTGGGTTTACCTCCAGATGAAACCAGCTTCTTGTGCATGCTCTTGGCCACCTGTCTGACGAGATAACAACTAACGAGTCTTTCTCTTCTTGCCTTCCGCCCTCCCCCCACCTCCTCCCATCTTCTCTCTGCTGGCTCCCGTTGCCCTCCAGTGTGACCAAGACCAGTGCATTCAGAGCACCAAATTCGTTTTGCAGGCCGCGGCCACGCCCCTGCTGCAGAGCGAGCCCAGCCTCACCAGCGACGAGCTGCACCTGCCGGGGAAGGCCAGCTTGGGCACGCCGTGCACCAGCCTGACGCTGGGCCAGCCCACGCCGCCCTCCTCCATGCCCAACCTCTCCTCGGAGGCCGCGCTCACGGATGTGCTGCCGCTGAAGGAGGAGCACGTGGGCCACCAATTCCTGACGCCTGAGGAGGCACCCTCCCCGCCCCAGATGCTGGCGGCAGGCAGCCCCCTGGCCCACAGCCGCACCATGCACACACTGGGCCTGGCCAGCCAGGACTCTTTGCACGAGGACTCTGTGCGCGGCCTGGTCAAGCTCAGCTCCGTGTGACCCTCTCTCACCTCCGCTCCGGAGTGACAGGCGGAGGATGAAAGCAGAGGGATGGTGTGCCCAGTGATGCTGCTGTGACTACAAGCTAAGACTCCCACCTGCCGGGTGCAGGTGACCACTCCAGGTCCTGGGGTGAAAGTGACCACTTCAAGAGTAAACAGATCTAGGTCTGATGGCAGGGGGCGAGGGAGCCAGGACCCAGATGCTTCTCACAGGTTTGTTGGATTGGAATTTTCTTCCCCACCCTGACCGCTTTGGTAAGAATGAAAATAGAGAAGAAGCTATTTTCAGGCGTTTTGGATATGAAGGGTGGGCAGAGGGAGGGCGGCGCCTCCCGCGGGCAGAATCCACATCTGGAAATTATGCTGTCTGGCCGCTGCTCTTGTGACACAGCACGCAAGGTTTACGACGACGTGTAGCCAGATGGAAATGCACTTAAGTGTTATGCTACTAATACTTGCAATAGACAGTTGCCATTCCATTTGTTAATTTAAAACAACAAAACCTAAAGGGAAAAAAACAGACCAGCTGTGGATTTGCATGCCACGCTACAGTATGTGCTACAGTGGTGTTGGTATTAAAAAGGAAATGCTGCTTTTTTTTTTTTTTTTTTAATTTTGTGATTATCCAAGTGCTGTTTCATTGGAAGACAGTGCAGCATACAGAGACTAATGAACAAAGCCATCATCTGTCAGCTCATTCACCTTAATGATTCATGGAGAGGTGGTGCCTGGGCTCCCGAGGGCTGCTGGGCGTTGGTCATATTTAGTATCATTTAACCTTCTGTTTAGATAAGGTATTGTGTTGTGCCATACCCACCACGGAGTCTTCACCTCCTTGTGTGTGAAACTTCCTGTGGACATCCAATAAAATGACCTCCTCTGTGATTCTGGATCTGCGTACAGTTCTCCTTAACAGCTTAAATGAAAACAATCTGGATGGCCTGCCAAGTTTGTTTTTCGTAAAGTGTCTCGAGCAAGGAATGATGTCCCTGGGTGGCACAAGCAGCTTCTGATCAACTGCTAACCGAAAGGTTGACAGTTCAAACCCACCCAGCACTGCCACAGAAGAAAGGCCTGGTGATCTGCTTCCATAAAGAGTACAGCCAAGGAAACCCTGTGGAGCTCAGTTCTACTCTGTAATGCATGGGGTCGCCGTGAGTCGGAATTGACTTGATGGCAACGGGTTTTAGCAAGGAGTGAGCCAAGACAACAAAAACTCTGAATTGTGGGTATTTACTGGATGATTTCTAGATAAGAGAGTGGCTTCCCATCAGTTTTTTCTTTAACCATCTCTTTTGGATGCAGTCTTAGAGGAATTTAGTGGAGTCCTGGTGGCACAGAGGTTAAGAGCTATGTCTGCTAACCAAAGGTCGGCAGTTTGAATCCACCAGCTGCTCCTTGGAAACTGCGTGGGGCAGTTCTATTCTGTCCTGTAGGGTCGCTAGGAGTCAGAATCGACTTGATGGCAGCGGGTTTGGTTTTTGGTTTTTGGGCGGTGCAAATGGTTAATGTGCTCAGCTGCTAACTGAAATGTGAAGTTCAAGCCCACCCAGAGGCACCTCAGAGGAAAGGCCTGACAATCTATTCTGAGAAATCAGCCATTGAAAACCCTGTGGAACACAGTTCTACTCTGACACACATGGGGTCGCCTTGAGTCCGGGTAGACTCAACCCCGCAACTTGTTTTTTTTTCCCCCAAGGAATTTGCTTTACTCTTACTGATCACCAGCACACAGTAGCGGGAGAGGATGCTCGAGGAGAAGGGACACTGTTAAGTCTACTTCATGACTCTGCCTTGTGTTAATGGGTCACCAAATCTCAGAAGGGCCACACGAGGTCCTGGTAAAGGTATCAGAGGAGGAGAAACTGAGTTAAAATTTGGGCTGAGACCATATGGATCATTGTTCTTAGCTAGGCAGTAATCAGAATGGAATTAAGAAAACTACCTCTTCATTCTTCTAAATTTATCATCTAGAAGGGAACTGGCTTTTTACTTAGGGAGGCAGCTGCAGGGGGCTCAGCAGGTTCTTCCCTGGCTTCCACCCCGATGATAAATCCAACCGCCAAATCCACTCAAGTTCAAAGGGACGCACTTGCTCCTAACTTCCCTGTGAAAGACAAGGCGCGTTGATCAAGCAGCCCCAGATGACTGCATGTATGGAAAAAGACTCTCTGTCCTGAGAAAGAGTTGCCATTTTATATCAAAGGAAAGGAGAAAAGGGAGAGGGAGGGAAAAACACAACTGCAAGTTTTATTTGCAATAAAGCCATCTCTTTGCAGGTCAGAAAATGTGTGCTGAAAAAAACCTGCAGAATTCTTGCATCATGATATCATTGAACCATCTTACTTTTCCAAACTGCATACATGTATAGAGAATGGAAAAGGTAACTTGTGGGTGGCCATGTTTTAGTTTATCGATCTCCTCACTACTTATACCCAATTGTAATTTCCCACAGAGGGACAGAGCCCCTCCTTCCACCCCCCCACCACGCCCACACACACTCAGGCCCTCAGACACCAACTCACAATGACACCGTGCACAGATAGCCTGGGGGCAAAAGTGACAGACCCCCACCTCACTGCTGTGCGGCCTTACCATGTGTCTCCCACAACTTCCCAACCCCTTCTGCTCCTTCCCTCCTTCTACTGCCCCTTAGAGGGCCCAAGAGAGGGGTAGCCCCAATGAGAAAGAAGACTCAGTGGGGTGACCTGAGCCAGGCTCAGTCCTGACTCTGCCATCATTCCCAGTTTCTCACCTGGAAAACCAGGACTATGGTCCTTAGGGGCTTCCATTGCCAAGAGTTTCTAATTCATTGGTTGCTGGCTTCCCAAGGCCAGCCCTTCTTCCCACCTCATTGTGAAAAAATCCCAAGAAGCAAGGACCATTATCTTTGCAGAATGAATATTTACTATCGACCCCTCACCCCACCTCAACCCCTGACCCCTGATGTACTTGAAACCATTTATCAAAGAGGAAACTGGGAATTCTGGTGAAACGAAGAGAAGCTATTTAGGGTCAAGAGGGAGATTAACTTGAAGGAGGCAATTTGCTAAGACAGTTCATTGCTAAGACAATTAAGAACCCAAACCAGAGAGAGGCCCACAGCCCAAGACTGGCTCGAAGAAGAACCCAGAGTCTGAGGAATGAACAGTCAGTCGTGTTCTGGTAACTTCCTCCTGCCTGTTAGGTGGGAGAGCTGATCCCGGAGCGGGGGGTCACTCGCCTGTGGGTCTGCATTTCCCACTTACTGATGGATTTTTTAAAAATGTTGAGTGGTTACATCTTGCTGTGGCTGAGCAGACCTTGATATTTCTACACTGTGTCCGTGTGCTGCGGGTTGATTGCATGCTGACTATAAAGAGTAAGATAAATATTTTACCATGCTATTAAATCCTGGGCTGCTACCAAACACACTCAGACGTTCGTTCTGTTGTTTAAAAATTCATCCGTTCTCATGCTTCCAGGACACTCAAGGACTCTGGAAGGCTGAGCTCCGTTTGAATGCCCGGGCGCATGAGGAGTGGAGGGAGTGGCGGCCGGTGCAGCCCTGCTCCTGGGGGGCACGATGACATGTCACTCCATGCCCGTGCACTTGTGCTGGCCGGGTGGACAATGCTCCTTCCAGCTTTCTAGGGCGAGGATTTCAGCCCGTGAGAATGACGCTGTTTCCCCCGGGCAGCAAAATGCCAAGGACCCGTTCTGGTCCTCACACAGCATAAAGGCAGTGGCTTTTCACCACTCTCCCTCCCTAGCGGGGGCAGTCTGCACTGTTGTGTGTAGATTGCTGCACGGGGTCCCACGAGAGGCAGATGCCATCTTGTGTGCTGCCTCTGAAGCCCCTTAGTTCTTCGTGCCCAGTGCCTTGGCCATCTCTTCGGCTTCAACAGCAAGAAAGATGAATTTGCCAGAAGCGGCCATAGGTGTCCTTGGCACTGTGGCTGGTGATGGCATCTTCAGGGCCCTTGGCACAACCTTTGGAGGGGCAGCAGCCTGCTGGTCCCTTCCCTGGGGTCCCCAGCCTGCCCACCAAACAAATGCTTCTCTGTAACTTGACTGCCCCCTACTGGAGTTCCTCCTGTAAACCACCCTCTTCGTGCCAGGAACCAATTGCTTGGGCCTGGGCTTCGAGTTTCTAAGTTGGTTGAAGTTAGCAGCAGTTCCAATAAATCACTGTCAGAAATATTTCCAAAGTCACTTGTCTTTCCCTCATCCCGGTGGACACTCTGTTTAGCCCGTTTACTTTTTAATCAGGTAAGAGAAGGGGAGCAAAAATCAAATATACTTTTCTATTTAATGCCTTACAACTCTTTTGAAGCTGAGCCTAAATCAGTGTTTACATTTTTTATTAAACGCGTCTGAGCTGTGAAAGCCTAGTGTATTCTTGTCCAAGGAAGAGAGACCTTCAAATGTATTCTTATTCCTCCGGGTCCCCTCCCCTGCTCTGAATGTCTGTGTATGGCATTGTACGCTCTTCTCCATGTGACCTCATAAAAAAAAAAAGCTCTCATTTGTTCCCTTAAAGCTTGTCTCTCTCTGTCTGATAAGTTATCATTGAAATATTAACTGAGCTGAGCGTCATTTTTGTTCGAATAAAGGTCACAGATGCTTATAGTTTTGTACATCAGTAAATCCTCCGTCCACTTGCCCGTTGTACATGGTTCTGGTAATATAGCCAAGGTGGACTTTCAAATCCACGTGGTTAGTACATTAATTCAACCATTAAAAATAATGGGGAGATAGAAGATTAGATTGTTTCTGGAGCAACTGAATTTACAGCTGCCACAAAACTAGATATAAGGCCTCAGATGGAATTCTTTTTCAATCTCAGAAACCCCAGGAATTACATACGGAAGGGATTGGAAAGCAGAGGGTGTCTGGTGCTGTTGCAAATTATTTTCTTTCCATCAAGTGTTGAGTTTTTAAAAGAAACTTGGTGTTGATTATGAAGATAAGAATGAACAATTGTCTTCATCGCCCTTGCTGCTTTAAAATGCATAAACCGAGAGACCACCTGATGTAGCCAGGGGCCAGGTTCTCTGGGTTCCATAGGAGCGGAGATGGCTTTAGCCTGCAGTCAGACATGCGTTTGTAGCCTTTCTAACCTTTTTCCCAGGGTATCCTGGGTTGGTATTTCAATAACCAAACATTTTGGCATAGGAAAAAAGAAAAAAAAAAATGGATTTGAAATTCTGAGTGCATCCATATCCCTAAATCTGAAGAATGTGAACATGTGTACATAGGAATGCATGTTTTCAGAGAGATTTGTGCTGCTGTAAGTGCCTTTCATGTTTTAATCAATGTTCGCAGAATTGATTTTAAACCTGAAATGAATGACGAAAGCATTTTCCCCCTTCAATAAACACTGCTAATGGTGGCGAACGCAAATCTCAGTCTTTATGAGACAGACGTTGCGTAGGTAGACGAGGTGTGGGATGGATAGGACTGACATGCATTCAGTGGTTTTGTACTATGTGGACGCCCATGTGGACGGTGATGTGGGTTTTCTGATCACAGATTTCTTTTCTACAGCTGTGGTTCTCAAGTTTTTCAATTCACAAATTGCCTTATCGAGATGCAGAGCTTCAAACCCCTTAATCCACTTTTT